CACAAACTTAGGTTTGCTTCAGAGGAACCTTTGTCCAGACCATTTGCGGAAGGGGAGTCCTTTGGAAGCAGCTCTGAAGGGAAGCTCTTACCCAGCAGCAAGCTCTGAGAGACACCCCTCTCTGGAAATGCTTGAGGAGAGCCATCTGGAGCTGAACAGAAAAAGAATAGATGAACTCTAGGAATTCTACACTTATATAGGAAAATTGGTGAGCTCATGAAATGTCATCATTATCCTCCTGTGGCTGGTGAGATCAGTAATTAAGAAGATGCATTATGGTGTGCTCTGGATGAGAGCATTTAGATATTGGACAAGAACCAACCAGGCTATGGATTCGCTGACACTGGCGTCAAGGTTTTTTTCAGCAGTTCACTACCTCAGATTGAGTGATGAGGGTCATGCAGACATTTTATGATGTGGAGATGGTGAAGTTGGAGTAACAGGCAGTTTTCAAATAGTTCTGACACATATTACAGGGGTGTGGGAGAGCCTCAAGTGAGACATTACGACTGGAGAGGTAATGCTTGCTCATGCTCCCATGTCTTGGGAGTAGATTAATGTTGAGGTCTCTGGAATTCCACTTGAGGCTGTCTCTGGTACTCTAGCTGTAATCTGGTTTCTCATGCTTAGTCTAATGAATAATACTACCACCAGGAGATGGTATTCTATAGCATGGTTGAGCCCACTCTCTGGCCACCTTCAATGCCTGGCTCCCTAACTTCATGCCAGACAACTTGAACCATGAAATTCCCTCCCAGAAAGTTGTCTCCATCTAGCTCAATATGTCCTTTCCCCAGCCTTGTCTGACTACCACAGCTGTCTCTAACCAGTCTCTACTGCCTCATGGGTCTCTCTTTAAGCCTCTCTAGTTTCTACTTGACTGAATTGCTTCTTGTCCTTACAAAATTCCTTGCTTTCCCTAGTCTTACCTCAATATCAATCTGGCACTTCCTGACATCTCCTCGTATGTTGATTCATGCTAATTCAAATGAGTATGTATCTTAAATCTGCCCAATGCTCCTACATAATCTTACTTAGGGGGCTGACACTGGTAGTAGACAAATTAGGAGGTTTACTGTGACATGGGAACACCTGTGACAAGCAACATATTTTCATTGGGAGCATTCAGATCCAGTGTGGTGTTTTACCTTCCATAACCTTCCATGACACTTTGAGGAATTGGTTAATATGTTCAGAAGATCATAATAAGCTGTAGATGCCATGTGTGTGTAAGTGGACATATTGGATTGGATTGGATCTGAGAATGCAGAGCCAGTAAGTAATTTCTGTGTTATTGTTGGCAAAATGGAAAATATGACACACATGGTCACATCATGCATGATTTAGTGTCTGAGGGAGGGTGAAATAGGATTTGACAACATGACTTTGGCAACTAAGTGCCTGTATAAGTGCCACTTATGTGACATAGCAGTAGGGCAGAACTCAAATAGACTCAAATAAATTCCTTAGAGGTTAAAGCCTATGCCAACTATTAGGCATATTAGTGTTACTTAGGCATCTAAGTGTGATACTTTTCTACCCTGTGCAACAGGCAAATTTCTGCTAAGGTTGCTCTTCATCTTAGCCTGAAAAATTACCTAGTTAACTATAGTTGGCCTACTGTGTATATTCAGAAATTATCTAGTAGTTACCTTAATGGAATCAGACACTGTAGTCTTGATATAGCTGGGAACTGTGTATAAATAAATGTCCCTGTGGCAGGGTGCGACCTAGGGGTGCCACCTAGGGGTGCCATGGACTCCCCTAGCACCCCCCTACCATGCCAAATTGGTTTCAATGCACCCTCACTATCTCGCCTGCCATGTCTTTGATGTTAATTATTGGTAAAGGGAGGCTGCCTTTTTACCCCCTTTGGCATGGTGCCCTGCCTTCGATAACACTGTGCACTATAGCCTTTGGGGCTATGCGTGGGTCCTACAGTCACCCGTGCCCTCACGGGTCCTCTGGCTCGTCTTTGTCCATTGCCCGTGCCCTCACGGGTGCTCTCTGGCTTGTTCTGCAGCTGCTGCCTGCACTGGGGCCCTTCTCTGTGCCCTTGCCCGCACTGGGGCTCCTCTCACTCTCGTAGCCCACACTGGGGCTTGCCTCGCGATCCTTGCCTGCACTGGGGCTTCTCACAATCCCACAATCAAGGCTCAGGTGGCCGTAGCTGTGCCTGGCCCCCAGACCCCCTTCTCGGGTCTTACGCCCCACTGGGGCTTCCCACAATCGAGGCTCAGGTGGCCGTAGCCGTGCCTGGCCCCAGACCCCCTCCTTGGGTCTTGCGCCCCACTGGGGCTTCTCACCTGCGCCCGCACTGGGGCTGGGTCCCCACACTACCGTGGAGCCCCTATGAGGCCTCCTCCAACCCCTTATAGCCTCACCCGGTCCTCCGGTCTTATACAACTACAAAAACAGGAAACTCATGCTCCTGGGCTACAACATAAATTCCAAGCCAAACTGGCTAACCATCATTCATATCCCTACCAGGGTTTTCTCCACCCCGTATCGTCCCGCAGAAGCTGCTCAGGCCATCAGGCTTCCCTGCCCTGCTTATTCGCAGCAGAGCTCCCTCTTCCCGGCTGCTAGTGGGGAACTGAACTCCCTAGCTTCAGCCTGGATCATCTTTATATAGATCAGGCCCTGCCCCTGTCCGGTCAGGTGGTATTCACTGGTTGTCTTGGCAACCCGCAGCTGTGCTGCCCTGGTGATTGGCAGCTGAGCCTCCCCCTTCTCACCACTAGGGGTCTCTCCCGGGTCACTTCCATTTTAGGCACAGGGCGCTTAAGTGCCTTGCGACAGTCACCAAACCCTCCATAGAACCATGGAAAATTAGGGTAGAAGGGATCTCAGGAAGTTATCAGGTTTCTCTCTCTGCTCAAAGCAGAATCATCCCCATTCAAACCATTTTAGATAAACGTTTATCTAACCTGCTGTGTGAAATTTCCAAGGATGCAGTTCCACGATTCTCCAGGTAACCTAGTTTAATCAGTTTCAATGCATGCGTGTGTGTGTTTTGACATGGATACCAATTGGTGTGGTGGTGTTGGGGTTTGGTGTCCGTGGCTAAATAGGATCAGCCAGTGGTACACCCAAATAGGGTCCTTAGAGGCCTATATGCTTTATGCAATACCTTTTAAATTAGGCTTTTTTTGTAGGAAGGTGAAACAGTTTCACTGGTTTAAGAGCTAGAATGGAATTGGTTCATTAGGATGTTATGCCTTTCTGGACATTGCAGTACTGGAATATTAAGTTCCCTGTTTAGGATAGGAGAATAATTAACTTTGTCTGATGCTAGATTCCCGTGTCCACTTTTCTTCAACTTAAGACTTTAAGGTTAACTCATCTTTTACTTGAACAGTCTTTCCAGGATTTACTCATGCATGGCGCAATAGTATCACATTTATATGTCTAAGTATTACTAGTATGTTTAATAGCTGGCATAGGGCTTCGCTTCTAAAGGTGCTAGATTCATGCAGATTTCCACAGGCGCTTGTACACATGATGCGATTACGATGTACACATGACAAAAATGTCAATTTGTGTGGCTGAATGGCATCACACTGTACACGTGCAAGAGTTTTGCGGTTTTTAAATGAGTTTGCATCATTGCAAACTAAACTACGTCTAGCTATTGGTCAGTTTGCCCCCTGGCTGTAGGAGAAGTGGGCAGGCTCTGCAGAAGAAAAGGATCAGGCCCCTCACCACTTGTGCCTACAGCAGGCACCTGCTGAAGACAGAAGCAGCGAGGGGCCTGATCCTTTCCCCCAGCAGAGCTTGCCTGCCTCTTCCATGGCTGGGGAGGATGGGAGGGAGGCAGCAAGCTGCCAGTCAACAGAGTGGCCCCTTTCCTCCATGTTGGTGGCACCCCCTGTAGCCACCTGACTGGGCTGCTAGTGCTCCCCCAGATCAGGGTTGGGAAGAGTTGGATCAGGCTGGGTGCTGCCTCTGAGCTGGACCAGGACCTATCCCACTAGCAGCCCACCTGGATGTCCCTGCAGAGTACTGCCACCACTGTGGAGGGAAGGTCCAGGGACCACTGCAGCTCAGGGGCTGCTTGGACTGCTGGCAACTCATATTCCCGCTGTGGGCAGGCTTCGCTGAAAAATAAAAAGGATTGGGCCCCTCACTGAAAAAAAAACAAAAGATCAGGCCCCTTGCCATAACAGCAATGGAAAAATAAAACCCCATCATTTCAATTAAAACCCACAGTTTCAATTTAGGGGACATGGAATGCAACCCTAAGGACTAAAACCCCATCATGTGTACAAGCGCCCCACATGCATATTCATCAGGTATTGTAATACCTAAGTAAGTGATCCTCAGCCAGGCTGATGGGATACCTGGAATTCTGCAAGATCCTTTGAAGGGTGTTTGAGGAAGTATGTGGAGATAAGGAAATAATGGCAGACTCAGGCTCTCCATGCCTGGCTACTCCCCTGTCCCCACTGCCTGCCCCTTTGCAAGGAGGTAAGCAATATAATACATATTTTTTTTTCACTCAATTCACAAAAGTTATGGAGGGGTTCCTTGGGTCTAAAAAATGCTAAGAACCACTAGTCTAAGTATTAGATGCCTTGCCTACATTTCACTTCTTTGGGATAAGGCTAGATTTCAAAGACATTTCTTAGAAGCTTTCTTGCTTAGCCTTGCACCATCAGAGCATTAGGCGTTTTATTCAAAAGACAGATTCAATTTGACCAGCTTAGGGATAGCATTAAATTAAGACTTCTTTAGGATCTATGTTTGGGCATTGCACCACCTCCACCACTATAATAGGAAGCTATGGTGGGTCCTGGATTTTGGTTACCTAAAGTTGTTTTGCTCCTCATAATCTTTAATTCAGCAAAATTCTCAGAAAAACTAATAACAGTTAAAGTTAGGATATCAGGATTTACTTCCCCATTAGTGAACTGGAGGAAAAGGATATGAACGGTTAGGAAAGCAAAAAGGATATGAAAGGTTAGGAAAGCAAAAAGTCAACCTCATGGAACAATGAGGAGGATTTTTTTCATGATATTTTATTATGTGTCTTTGTAAGGAATAGACCAACAACCATATAAAAGCTTACAAAGATGGTTAACCTTCAACACTATAAATGTTTTAATGTGACAAAGGAAATTCACGATTCTGCATCTTTTGACTTTTACAGGGTGAAGAGACATAGCCTTCAAAAAGGACATGCCAATTACATATTTAACAGGAGACATTTACAATTGTTGCTAAACCTTTACTTTTAATGGAAGTCAATAAATCTGCCTTGCAGATTTAGAAGTGCAAAATACATTAGCACCAACACATTAGTCTTTTACACTTCCTTAATTTTAGTGGTCTTGACCAGCAATGACAGGAAAGTATAGAAGCACCCTTGAAAACATAATACAATCCAGCAGTAACATCATGGCAATTGTTGACATTAAGGTATTCAAAATTCTTCAGATGCCCTGTACTCTGGTCATAACTAATCAGTACAGAAATATATCATTTTAAGCCAAATGGTACCAATGAATTAACCAATAGTTCCAACATTTTTTATTTGTTTGGTTATTTTTGGTGTGAATCATCAGACTCATCCCAGTTTCTGTCCATGTTGAGGTAGTTGAAACAGGGAAGTCTTTCTAGCTTTATGGACTTCATCTTAGAAAGGAGGGTAAACTTTGATACTGGGAGCAATCAGTGCTTTTTAAATTGGCTAGTATTTAACTAATAGAACACAGTGTTGTTTTATTTAGTGTTGAAGTTTTATTATAGCACCATGGAGACACGTTTTGAAGATGGAATTTGGTAAAAAAAAAAAAAAAAAAGCAAAAAGCATTTTTATTGTACTTTGTGTAATAGCAAAACCCCCCACAAAACCTTTAAATCAAATTATTTTTTATTCCCAGAAATTTTGTTAATAAATAACTGGGATATGGACCTGTACTAGCTGACAAAGTTTAAACAAAAGGAGCACCGATGGAGTGTGAATTTGTTTGCTAGGGTTTCAGAAGGAGCAGTATCTTTGATTTATAAGAAGCAAACTGGGCCAATGTCCACACCAAATTCTTGATCAGGACCACCAATATCGACGGGTGCAATATCAATCAAGGGCAGCCTCATGGTCTTGCGTGTTTTATATTCAAAGACAGTTTTACCCCATTCACCAGTGTGTTTCTGTAAAAATTTAAAAGAGAAAAGCATGTCAAAGAAACCCTATGCAGTACAATGTGGAGATTATATTTTACTGAAATTCACACTTGCTCTTTTCACATTAGCATGTGGTTTATTCCTCCACCTTTCAATCTCTTGTATTTTCCCACTCAGTATCTTTTTAGACAGGCATTATTTAGAGTATCTTTATATTTGTATCCAGAATGCGATATGCATTTTCTGCACAAGTAGGGGACTGGTTCCCTGATCCTTAGAACAGATTTATGCTTCATTGCCTAAGTGAAGTCCACAGGACTGCCTACAGGACTTATGTAGCTATAAGACTTATGTATAACTACAGTTTTTGGCACTTCCACACAGTGGGGATTCCACATAGCTATGCTTGCACTGTTTCTCTTCTAAACATGCTCAGTAGGCTGTACTATGGCTGTCTAGGCTTCGGAGGCATACACATAATTGCAGATGGGGTTTGACACTGGAGGAGAAGTCCTTCTCACCTTTTACCTTTTACCCCAATAGGGCTTGTTCCTAGCAAGGGAGAGATCTAAGCTCTAGGTGTTCCTCACTCAGAGTAAGGTTTTATGCTGCTCAGCGAAGTATTCTAGACATTACCCAGAGTGCTCTCCAACTCTTCTCTTGAAGCTGGCCCACTGGGCAGCCAGGAGGGGGAGATATATGGGGCAGCTGAATTGAAGGGAAGTTACATTCTTCATAAACTCTCTCACTTCCAGTGCATTTTAACTCCTCTTCCACTCTGAATTTTTGTTTGGGAAATCTACCCCCTAATAGTCAATGCTTAAGGCATGTTTATAGAGTAAACATACCATGGAAGATAGTATTGCATTCAGACATACCATACTTCAGTGCATATGCTACTTTCCAAAATGATAGTGGTGTAGCCTTTTTTGTGCAGTGGTTTATTTGGATTAATTAGTGCTGCTTCTCAACAAACTCTACCTCCCGAATCAGAAGCAGAATAGATGCATTCACATGCTGCTTCAAGTTAATTTTTACTGCTGCTTTGTGCTGCTGCTTATCTTGGGTGTGGTGCCATGTGAACGGGGATATTCTGCTTTTGGTTTGGAAGACTGCCCGTGGAGCAATGAGAGAAGTTTGAGTGTACTGGTACTTGACATAAGTCTGTGTTACAGAGCTGCCCTTAGTAGACTACACAGTGTTAATCTGCATTTGTGAAGGGAGCAGGATCAACATTTCAGCACAACTTTAATTCAGTTTTCAAAACTGGGAAAGACATTTGGACATTAAAGAGGGAAGGCCTCTAATAAAGAAGAGATCTGAATAGCAAGCAAAGGGTAGACCATAAGCATGAACTGTATTACAAGAGAAGCATGATGCCTTCCAGACCTGGCTATTCTTTTTGTTGGTGAGATACCATTTACTATAAATCTTTAAAGTGTATTATACCTCTTCTTGCTGTAGGGAACCATATGAACTAGCTTTTAGGTCTCCATTAATTCTGGGAACCATCCATGGGTTCTTCTATTCTCTGTCTGACCCCTTTTATTTCCTACTTAGTTTACTCTGATTGTCAAGCTTCTGGAGTACCAGGGCTGCAACCGTATCCTGATTTTACATAGGCCAGGAAAGGGTTGGGGTAGTTCTTATTTATTCCTCTGCACCTGCATTAGCTAGGGTACAATGTAGCCTCCCCATAAGGGATCCAACCCACTATAATACAGAAGTTGTGTTTACTTACAGTACAACCATCTTCCAGAACTGCATATGTGAATTTGCTGTTTCCTTCAGCCTTGATTTCACTTTCAATAGAGCTCATCAGTTTCAGAGCTGTCTTAACATTTCCACTGGCCTGATCCATGTAAGCAATACTATTTTTGCAGTGATATGTGATATTCTGAGAGGCTCGGCTAGAGAGAACTCTCAGGAATGCCAGCTGAACATCTGAGACATCTTCTGGAAGGTCTGAATCTCCATAGTTGAACTGTGGTGCAACACAAAAATATATTATTTTACTTCCATCTCTGGTAATCAATCTACCACCCAGTGAATATGTACTACTATGCAATAAATTTAATTAAAGATTTTACTGAAATAGCTATTCCAGGCTATTCAATGAGATGATCTAACATGTCCTACCTGAAAGCCACCATCCATAGATTCTCCAAACCATATGTGTTTCTTTTCACCATCTGTACTTGTCCACCACTTCTTACGTGGCACACTCCTGGGATTAGCACTGATGCATGTCTCACCCGTTTCCATATTACAGTACACTTTAATAGCATCCAACTTGCAACCTTGATTAGGATCAATCCAGTATTCTCCTACGGAAAGATAAAAAAAAGAAGACTTTTTATTTCCCCAAAGACATGTAGTAAGCACGAAGTACCTTATCTTTGACTGAGGATAGGGCAAATCAAACTAGTGACACAAAAATAATACATTTTATTTCATTCAAATAGTCTAAACAAAGGTCAGAGGATATGCAGTGCTGACAGCAAGGAAGCAAATTTTAATTTGGACATGACAAGTATAGACACCATAATCTAATTGGTATAGATATACTTTTCAGAACAGAACTACAAAGAAAAAAATTCAGTGCCAGAGTAAAAAAAAAATCTAACATACCACTCTTGAATTCAGGATGGCAGAATTTCAGATCTCTGCAGTTACGAGCAGGATTTTTCCGTGAGCCATCAGGACTAATGATGTTTTCAATCTGGCTATTAATTGATTTCATTGAAGATAAAATTTCATTTATGTTGATCTTTTCATCACTTGGCTGGTCATTGTAGAATGGATATACAAGTCCTTTATCTGGCCCGTCTATCGTACCACAGCATGGACCAGTAGCTCCAGGAGGACCTGGGAGACCAGGTGGGCCAGGTGGGCCCTAGGAAATAAAGAAAATATTAGAGTAAGAATTAAGCCAAGATTTAAAAAGCCATAAGAGTATGCTACGGACCACAAATATGAAGCTAAGAAGAAGGCTAGTTATAGACAAACTTGTATTTATTTATTTATTTTTACCAGCTAGTCATAGTAAAAGCCAAACTGGGACAAGCTTGGGCCCATTTTTTTCCTAGTTCAGAGACTAAGTGCAGCTCATATTGTTAAAGCTGGATTGTAGGAAAGGAGGTATGCTAGGAGCTTTTGCACCACTGTGCCCATATCAGCCACAAAATGACTAATAAACGGAGGCAATGCTACTACTTCCACCACTGCTTTATACCCTCTATTACTCCCTCTAAGGGACATGACTGGTATAGCACAGTTCCTACTTCATCCTGAACAACATACATTTCAAAGCAGGAAGACTATGCTGTAAAGACAGCTGGAGTTTCTGATTTCCCACTTAAATGGGAGAGTTTGGTGCTCATCCAAAGCCCAATGAAGTCAATGGGAATATTTGAACAAGGCTTCTTATGCTCGGTATCTTTCTCAACTTAGACCTATTGGTCAGATCACTTCTACACTAGCAGCAGCTCCAGAGTATGTTCTTATGTACATATTTAAAAGAGAATGATTTGCATTTTTACTTTTTAAAGAGGAATAATCTGTTTAACTGATGGAATACTTGCTGCTCACTTACCGCAGCACCAGTGTCACCTCGATTACCACGAGGACCTGGAGGACCTATGGGACCTGGGTAACCACCTAAACCATCTTTTCCAGGAGGACCAGATGGTCCAGGAGGACCCTAGAATAAAGGCAAACACAGGTGAATAACAACAACAACTAATCAACATGTAGAAAGTACGATAAAATATTTCATTTGTGTGTTTCCCTGAATGTCAGCTTTTGCGTTTTTATTTCAAAAGATTTGAATAAGATTAATAGAAATATATGAAGCAGACATGAAACAGTATGAAACTGTTATAGGCAATCCTACTTACCCTGGCACCCATAGCTCCTGGATTTCCATTTGAACCTGGTGGACCCAATGCACCCTGTTAAAATAAGATAGATTACTTACTTAATAAAAGCAGTGTAGGGATAGGGCCAAGTCCCCAAGGTGAAGCTGAAGCAGTGACTTCTGGTTGCTGTCATAGTCACATATGCAAACATGCAGCTGCCAGCAGCAGCCACTTTTATTCATCCCCTACTGCAAATTGTCTATTGGTACACCCCACCCCCAGTTACATCACTGCTTAACAATAATGATAATGAAGATAATAATAGTATAATGATGATAATAATGATAGTATTACTGTCTAATCATATCCATGCATCAGAAATATCTATGATGTTCTAAACAGAAAACATATCAATGATATAATGTCCTAGTCCAATGGCTAAAGACTCCAATAGGAGCCTTCCCACTGATTTGGGTAAGGCCCTATATCCACTGAAATCCTGTAGCCGTATATTATTATTATAACTATGATATCTGCAAGATAATTTCAAGGATTCTGCAAGTAAATTTAAAAAAATTAAGAGTAAATGACCACTAATTTTAGGTGAACTTCCGAAGAGTAAAGCATATACTGAAATAAAGTTAGTAACTTTTCTTTGAAAAATCCAGAATATAAAACTATTAGATATCTCTTTATCCATTCTGCAAGCAAACCACAAGAGTCAGATGCCATCGTATGATATTAGTAAGTGACTTTTTAGGTGATGGCATCTATAACCTACATTTTATATTTTTGCCATTACAATTCAAACATTGATATATGGCTAGAATGGTTGGTCAGGGATGATTCTGCAAGGGGCTGGACTATAGGACTTTATGAGGTTCCTTCCATCCCTAATTTCCTTTGATACTATATGATACTTGGCTCACTGGCCAAGTTCGTGGATGACACCAAGTTATGGGGGAGCGTAGTCATGCTTGAAGATAAACTACAGATACAGGTGGACCTAGACAGGCTAGCAAGTTGGGCAGATTGGAACCTGCTGAAGTCAACATTGAGAAATGTAAAGTGCTCTACCTTGGGATGAGCAACCCACAACAGACCTACAGGCTTGGTGGCATCAAATTGACTAGCACCACAAGTGAAAGGGACCTTTAAAAGATTTAATGCAAAGTCTGGTCCTACATGCTAGAATTCCAGGGTGCTGGAGTAGCTTCAGTGCTCATGCATAGATGTCCTCCATTGTGAGGTACAAGAAAAATGCACATTAGCTAAGTAGCATGTTTTTTGTGATGCTTTAATGCACACTAAAATAGGCTAATGCACATTAAAGTGCACATGTAGACATGCCCAATATCCATAAAAATTATTTAACCTAAAGAAAGTTAAACCAATAATCCCAAAACATTTTATCAAATGCAGCTTTGTTTCCTAGAAAACTAACCAAATCATTGTGATATTTATTCTTATTTTTTCTTATACTTATTTTTCCAGTTTGTTGATTGGGTCCTGGTATAATGTAGGGACTGCATACATTGAGCATTCTACTACACAATTATTTTTAGTTAGTCATTTACATAAGGTTAAATTCAGTTTTCAGTTGCCTGACATTGAAATGCTGCAATTATGAGAAGAATTTCATTTTTATTATGCAGTTCAACATAATACAAGATACGTACAGGGGGGCCAGGGAGGCCTGGGGTGCCAGGATGTCCTCTGTGACCCTTAATGCCATTGATGCCACGCTCACCAGCTTCACCTTTTTCACCACGAGCACCTGGGGGACCCTTTAAAAATAATTTTTTAATGAAAATTGAAAAACAACCCAGGAGAAACTTCAAACAGACAGAAAATGATAAACTGATCTGCAAAGTGGTTTCCATGGAGACTTACAGCAGTACCACGGGCACCAGCAGGACCAGGAGGACCAGCAGGACCCTGAGGACCCTGTGAAATTGGAAGATGATAATTATCATCAGATACAGTTACCATTGTCCTTTTTTTCTAGATAGGTAGAATGCATTAAGGCTAGGACTGATTAGAAAGCATGGGATAGGTCTACAAACTTAAACTCCATTTTTTGTTGTGGTGGTGGTGTTGAGGCAAATTATAGTAATTACATTGAGACAGTGTCTTTTGGTATCTTAAGAAGTAAATAGGTTTGTATACACAATAACTTCCTCTCCTTGGTATTCCTCTTATGGGATCCCATTATTAAAAATCTGTAATACTAGTAGACTAATGAACAAGATTCTTCCACAGCTCTGTTTTCCTTTACTGCATAAAGCAGCTTGCAGAAGCCAAAGCAATGAAAATAGACAGTAGGCAGTGTCTTTGCCTTTTTCACTTACCTGAAATCCTCTTTCACCTGCTTTTCCTGCTGGACCGGTGTTACCAGGGGGGCCAGGATGACCAGGTGGACCAGGTATACCAGGAGAACCATTTTCACCACGGTCACCCTTTGGTCCTGAGGATCCATCACGACCTGGCAAACCATCTGATCCAGGATTACCCTGAAAACCAGAGAGGTACAAGTTTAAATAGTAACAGTATTATGGAATAGTCAACATGTTTTAGAGCTAATTGGGAAAATGATCCGCACAATCAGAAAATAGGTATAAGAGAATTAATTGCTGCCCTTACAGGAACAGTTTGTGAGCAGCCCTTCTGCAAGACTTGAGGAAAGGAGCATACAAAAAGTTTACATTTGCCCCCTTAGGTAGTTTTATATGGGCCTGTGACCCTGCAGTCTCAGTGCTTATAAGAAGGTTCAGAGTGTCACTTGGTCTGTACCAACTGGGACAGAACCATAGCCCCCAAACTGGGTAGGTTGTACTGGAGCAGTAAGCTTCATCATCATATATGAGACTAGACTCTACCTAATTCTCTTATGTATTAGTCTCTTCAGGGAGGATTTTTTAATGAGGCACAATCATTTCCCAAATTTCTCCATAAATTGGACTGTGTATAATTTACAATCTAGCACAAAGATCTGAAACATCTGCTTACATCTCTGCCAGGCTCTCCTGGTAAGCCTCTTAGACCAGCAGCACCATTTTGACCTGGTAGACCACGCTCTCCTGGACTGCCATTCACTCCTGGTTTACCATCTTCACCCTGAACATCAAATGAAACGATTTCATTAAGACTGATTTTTCCTAATGTCATCAAATGTTCCAATTTTCTATTTCTCCCCACCATCAAATGCAGTGTCCTGCATGAAGAGTACAAGCACTCTGAACAGAGATGTGTAGTTAAGTTTGACAGATTATCATGATAAAACCTCAGTGACTGTGATTAAATGAAATATAAGAAAAAAATCTGGCCTCACAGATGTGTGACTGACCAACTTTTCCTCCTCCTTTTAACATCACACATTCATGGTGTGCAAAGGTGCTTCTTGGGTATGGCATAATTCTGCAGTGTACATTAAAAGGTTGGTACAAAGTACGTCAAAATATTATGTGTACAAATCCAATATAGTTAAAGGCTAATACAAAATAATAAACAACCATTGTAAACAGTGATTTTAGACTTTCAGAGTTATTTTGACCAACTCTGAAAAAAAAAATATCATAAATACACAAACATCACTGTATTAGTGGTATAACACAATACTAGCTAAAATATGTAAAATATTTTTGTTCTCTTTTTTAATTTAATTAGGCCTTGAAAGTGATATTTTATTTGGGTTTTATTTCTTTAATAAGATTCATAAGGATAATTAAACAAGGGTCACTAGGTGAAGTTAATACTAAAGAATTGCATTACTTAACAAGACATAAAAATGAGAAATCTGGTAGAACTGGAGACATGAGGGATTAGAGTTTTGGTGCATGTGATGAGAAGACGATAAGGAGTTTTTGGTTGGGTGAAGTTGGTCATATTTTTTAAAATCCTCACATTGATCCAAGAATATTGGTACCATGGATCAAAGGCAGTTCTAGATTTAAAAACAAAGCTAAATATAGGGAAAATTTAGATTTAGATATGAATATGAATTTTGAAGTTCATGCCACACTGAGAAAAGTCCAGAATTGCTTGCTCAATTTTCATTTAGCTCCAGATCTCCAAAGGTATTTGACTACTTCATTGCTAGTTAAGTACTTAATTTTATAATTCTTAGAAGTTGATTGAGAAGCTAGGTGCTTAAATACCTTTGTGGATCTGGACCTTACTCTTCACTCATCCAAAACTTCAACTGATATTGGTAGAAACTGGCTTAAATGCTAATTATATAGTCTTTGACCTAATATTTGGAAAATTTGGCGCATTCATCACATGTGGACTGTTATTACAGGCTGAAATTCTCCTAGGTATTTCTAGAATGAAGTTAATGATATTACGTTTGAAGGTGAGTCCTTCAATATATCTCCACTCACCTTTGGTCCAGGTTGACCAGAAGAGCCTGGTTGGCCACGTGAGCCTGGTAATCCTACTTGACCACGTCCGCCCACTAGACCCGGAGGGCCTGGAAAGCCTATTGAACCCTGTTGAAAATAATTTGGCTAAATTAATAACTGCTGGATATTTTTGAAAACATGGCTTTTAGTTATCTTCTAGCATTCATCAGGAAGACTCTTTTGATGATGTGCTTACTAACTTTTATTTATAGGTTTAATGAATCCTGCAAAGTAATTTGCTTACTCGTTCTCCTTGTCCTCCTGGTGGACCTTTTTCACCTGGTGGGCCAGGGTCACCTTTTGGACCAGCACCACCTGGTCTGCCAGCTGGACCAGTGTGACCTGTTGGACCAGGAGGGCCATCCTTGCCTGCAGCTCCAGCGTGACCAGGTGGCCCTGGATTACCCTATAAATGTAAAAAGAAAAGAATGAGATAAAGTATCTGATATGATAAATACTACTTCATGATGATCATTTCTCATTGTCCATGTTCAGCAACTATAAAAAAGATATGTTGCTTGTTTTACTGTCAAACGTAGACATAGATTCATAACTTGAGGCACCCGGGGTTGAAATTGCTTTGATTTGCTTTCACCATAAAAAGTTTATTCCTTTCCTATTGACTTAAGTCTAGATTTTGTTTTACCTCTCCCTAATTATGTTTTAAAATTTGGCTCTTCTAAGTTGTTATCTAGACATTGGTGGTACTGGTCAGTTTCTGGAATTATTCAACCGTTACATATCCTAGAACTCTCTTTGTCACTATGTCATAGCCATGGAAAAAATGCTTTGGACATGTGGAAAGCCTGATACAATACCTATTAAAGTTAATAGAGGTATTGGAGCCTATATCTCCATCTTGGTATTTTTATTGATCAAGCAGTAAAACAAGAAATGTAATATAGGTCTAAGTAAAAAGCCATAATAATCTGTTAAGGAAATTCTGAGGTTCCAGGAAATAAGACCTTACGTCAGCATTTCCTTAACAGATTTAGCATGATAATTTACGTTCAGTAGATTCATATTTACTTTTTAATAACAAAAATAGGATAAATAGAATAAATTCTATGCTTTCTCAATTATTTTTAAAGAATCCATAACCGTAGTGTGTATTATGGAAATCCGAGATACGATATATATGAAGAGCAGCATTTTTTTTCAAATAGGGATAATTTATAAAACTTGGTCAAGGGTATTATGCAACAACTTCTTATTACAGTGGATCAGTGTGCACCTGCAGGTCTCTTATCTTCATACTGTGGAAGGGAAGTTCTCATGGAACATTTTCCTTCCTAATACTTCTATCACTAGTTGTTTGGTTTTGATACAGTTTTTTCTATAAACAATGAAAAAACACATAGAGTCTCAGCTGTGATCACTTTGAAAATGACTGATAGAATAGTGAAAGCTTTGGGAGAGGAGAGAAGGACAAAACAAGACCCTAAACTGTGCACTTCTTGTATTATAGAAAAGTGAGAGAGAGAACAGGACATTTTTGACCAACCAAAGACCTAATCCAACCGCCACTGGAGCTATTGGAAAGATCCTAATAATGCTAATGAGATTTGGGGGAGTAAGCTTAAAAAAAAGAAGAGTATTAAGGAAGTAAATAAAAGAATGCTATCACCAGGAATAAATCTATTTCTACAGAGACACTTCAGTTTCATTATACCCCCCATATGTTTTATTTATGCCAACGTGTAAAGGTATGTTTTAGGTGCACTTGAAAGGTAAGTATGAACAAATGACAATATAACTTACATTATTACCAGGGGGACCAGGCGGACCACGGGGACCAGGGAAACCACCTGAGCCCTACAACCAAACATTTCAAAGATAAATACTAAAACATTGAAAAGTCGAACAACTTATTTCTGTATACAGTTCTGTATTTTGTATGTTAGTAATAATGCAAGGCCTGCTGTTGTGGTCCAGTGGTAGACTTGTTTTCTACACTGGAGACCCTGGTTTCATTCCTGGATGTGCATATAACTACAGCCATCCAGGCACTGCTTGTCTGAACTCAGTCTGGCCTTTGGATTCTGTCTCAATGATCTAAAGAGGGGATGGAAAGTCTGGACAACTTTCACCTCCACTCCTCTATGCGGCTACCCAGGCATACATGTTGAAGGTACTGGTGACCTCTCACATGTACACCATTATGCAGAAGGATCAATGGTTGACTACTAATAATGCAGGGAAGGACATGTCAGATGGTTGATTTGTTAATTGCAGTTAATATATCTTTGATGTAGTATCAAATTCATGGTACAAGCAAGAAGCAGGAACACAGGTCCTTGAGAAAAACTCTAGCCATTTTGTATAAGACCCAAATTAATTTGCACAGTTCAGAACACATAGTCCAAATGTTAACTTTTTAAATGAAAATCTAAATCATGAACTTAAAAAGCCAGCCAAACAGAACTTTCAACTGTAACTGTAGGTAATCTTAAGTAGGCTATCATATGGTTTAACTCCTCTAGTTATCCCCTGTGGCAGGAGAATTTTGCTAGGATTTTTTTTTTAAATGAAGTTTATAAATGTCTCTGCCTTCTGCAGACCATGTTGAAGTTCCTGTCTTAGTACTAAGTGTGCTGTCTCCTAGTGAGAGAATGATAGGAAAAAAGATAATACTCACAGGGCTACCAGGAGTACCACGTTCTCCTTTTACTCCCTGGGGACCAGGTGGGCCCTAAAGTACATGAAAGAGACATTTTAATACAGTATAGAATTAGCCAATAAGAAATGAGAACCATTAATATGTTGTGTATTTCAAACACTTGTTTGATCTAAAGGCTGAAAGAACTGGAAACTGTATTAAGAATGAAGTTTTAGTAGAAGTTGGGTAGCAATTAATACTTACTGGTGCACCAGAGCCTCCTGGTTGGCCTGCAGGTCCAGGGGGACCATTCTCACCTCGTGGGCCCTGAGGGCCTTTCTCTCCTTTTCCACCAGGATCCCCATTTTGTCCCTTTAGTAAAAGGAAAAATTAACTATTCTAAATATAATTTAATTAAAAGCATGATAAGACTGAGCTGACTATTACTAGAGTGATCCTGTTGCTTAGTTGAAATACAAGCTCAAAAGATGTAGTCCTAATGAAGACAATGGAAAATATAAAACTGACATTAGTGAGATCAGAATCAGAACCCACATATTTCTGTTTTAGGAACAGAAATCTAATTAGAAATTTTACTCTGATGGAGAGAAACTCCAGAAAGATCTCATCAATCTAAGTGAGTGGACAAACAAATGGTAGATGAATTTCAATGTTGACAAGTGCAAGGTAATATACATGGGGAAAAATAACCTCAACTATATATATGTAGTATGGGGTTCTGAACTGGCTGTTATGACTCAGGAAAGAGAGCTTGGTTTCATTGTGGATAGTTCTCTAAAAACATCAGCTCAATGTGCCTCAGTGACCAAAAAAGCCAATACAAATGACCTAAAATTAAACAATGAGTTTCAATTTTTTTTCCTATTCTTACTTACAGGAGGTCCGGGGAATCCAGGAGGCCCTGTGGAACCTTGTTCTCCTCGGTCACCCTGAAGAAAATGAACAAAGGGAAAAATGAGAAAAACAGTCTTCATGCTTAATATATAGGCATATATAATATACACTACAGTGAATAGGCTCATTTTCCTCTGGCAGGCCAGTAGTTGAAATAAAATGTGAATATGGCTTTTGAAATTGTATGTTTTCAAACTGGTTTATTATGTCAAATATGTTAATCATCAATAACATGTCAGGTCCTGATTTTTATTGAGTCATTCCATGGAGTTTGTCTGATATGTGTGATTGGAATCTGGCTCATTTTATTAATATGAAATGTAAACATACAGGGAGCTAGTTAGCCTATGTTAATCTAAGTTGGGCAGAAGGTTAACTCATTCATAAAGAGACTAGAGACTAACTCATTCAGAAAGATGTAAGCTTCCATAGGCAACAACCTACTTTATCAGATGCTATGAATGGATTGGCTACCCCTGCTCTCTGCAAGTCCATTCATAACATATAAATAGGATGTATCTTATTAAAGCTTATATTTTTCTAAGAGAGTTATTCTCTAGGGCATCCTGCCCTGCTTTCTCTCGGAGTACAGAAATGGATATATTTCCAACTGGTTATTTAATTCTAAAAATAAACAGATAAAAGACAGAAAAAATAAAAATCACTCTACTTAAATTAATGGCTCAAAAATGTCAAGGTTTAGTTTTGGTTTTGTGATACTTTCAAATGCATGGGAAATGGGTAGAAACATTGTGTCACTACCTTTACAACCATTCTTATATCTTTGGTAGTATTAAAAACAAGTGGTGGGACTCTTGGAAATTCTGAGCAACTGAAAACAGCAGTTAAGTCCTCATGCAGCTGCCAGCGCTTAAAACCTTTGGAAATAAAGCCAAATACATTGATATAATCTACAGTAGGTTGGACAAAAAGGACTGTCACTTACAGGACCCCCACGGGCACCAGGAAGACCAGGGGCGCCATGTGGTCCAATATCACCCTGAAAGAAAAGAATTAAGTTTATTTCAGAGTTCTTCCTCTAACTCAGTAGACAATTTCAGACCTACATATGCACAACACCTTATTCAAACCCATTTTTTTGTTATACATTACCTTTTCTCCAGGTGGGCCAGATGGACCAGGAGGTCCAATGGGACCTGCAGGACCCTAAATAATTAGAAAACAATGCTTTACTATTTAGCAGTATTATTTTTATGATCAATAAAACTTGAATTTCAGTCTCAGTATAAGCATGGTTCTGCAGCTACTTAAATAATAGAAAGTCTATAAATGTCAATGTATTGTTTTGCCCCTATTTATCAAGTTGGCATTTTGATGGATTTGATTGATCTTTGATTAATGTACATTGACTTTATGGTGCCACTATCTAAGGCCTAATGGAATTCCCATAGAAGTCAGTGGGAGTCTTTCCACTGGCACACAAAGGCAGTCATACATTTATATCACTTTACACCCATTCTCCCATTAATTGGTTTATACGCCAATTAGTTGGTCTATTTCTTCAAAGAGAATTTCTGAATGTCCAAATCATTATTTTATTCATTTATTGACCTGCATGTCAACATTTTCTAACAGTTCAGTTACCATCTCATGGCTGTATAATACCCGATCCAATTCTATATCCCTCAAATAAGGGTAGAGAAGTAAGGACAGATACATAAAAGGAATATAGTTCCATTTAGAAGAGATGTAGACACCTAAATCTAAAAATATGATTTGTAAAAATATCCATTCATCAGCTAAACCTAGTGACTCTGAAAATATTTAGGTACCTTCAGTTTTGACTTTAAAAGGCATTTAAGCTGTGTTTCTGAAAACACCCAGAAGTACCTCATTCTTTACAAGCCTAGGGAATAACTCAGTGGTCATATCATTCATAGGCTTCATCAGGATGCACACAACAGGTATTTCTCTGCTGGTTTCACTTGGGACGCTTATTCCAGTATGTGTTCTCAGAGCATTTCTACCATATCAAGCTGCACTATACATTATATATAAATGTGGCAGCAATAGCCACTTTTCTCCAAAGGGTGGTGATGGTTGGGGTTCTCCCTTACTTCTGTAAGTAGCTCAGTAGTAAGAGTTTCATCTAAGATGTGAGTATCCCATGTTCAGCTCCCTCTTCTGCTGTTTCTACACATATGGAATAAATAAATGCTTGCAGAAAAAGAGCACAATGCTCTAGTATAATGGCATTTATATTATATTCCATTGGGGACAGAAGTCCTGGGTTACTGGTGCAGCTCTAGAAATTACTAAATTATGCAATTACTTTCATGATCAAATAGTCCTTTGAGTAGGAACTGGCATCTAGGACTTCCCTCTCTCAGGTAAGTGTCATAACAACTGGGTTTCAATGCTGTACTAACTTTTTCTCTTTCTAGTTTATGGAATCCTGTATTTTTATGCTAATGTAGCCTGGGAGCCCGGCACACAAAGTAGAACAGTACTAACAAAAGAGGTGGAGAGTGCCCTCCTCCACTCTAGAATAGCCTATAGTGAGGAGATTAGGATACTTTCCTGGAAAGTAGGAGATGTTGATCCTTTTAGGGTAGTGGATGGCACCAGATCTGATGTCTCTCATGTAGTAAGTGCTCCAAAAATTAAGCTAATGAAGTTGCTCTGGATACAATAGAATTTGGTGTTTCACATCATAAAGTGATATGAATTCACTAAAAGTATGCTTATAGTGTAAATGGATATTAAGCAGCTGTTGAAATTAAGTCAATTAAGTCTCTGATGCCAACTGACTTCCTGCTTCTTGGGCAAGGAGCTGGAGCTGATGATCTTGCAAGGTCCCATCCAGCCTAATGTCTGTGAAATCTATGACATCATCTGTAGCTTGAAAGGTTCTACTCACTCTCACTCCATCTTTACCAGGTAAGCCATCACCGCCTCTTCCACCAGGCTCTCCCTGTCAAACATATGGCAAAAGGGATCAACACATTTACTGAGAAAGACACCACAAGAATACCATAATAACTGGTGTTTTTAACTACAGTTATACAAATTTGGCTTTCAGTATAACATTCTACAGTGATACAGGGTCAGACACAGAACTCGAGGGCAAAATTCAACATCCATTCACCCTCAAAGGTGGGAAAATATCACGGGCAATATTCCTCCTTTTGTATAAAATCGTATAGTGCCATTGCTTGAAATAAGGTGAGTCTAAACAAGACATTTATTGTGCAGTTGGCTAATTAATGGTGCAGTAAACATCTCATGTCTACATGTGCGCAGCTATTAGGCTACAGTAAACTAATTTACTCTGCAGCAGGATAGTAGTTGTAAATGTAAATACTGTCCTGGTGTGGAGTAAAAAAACTCCCCAGCAGCACATGTTTAGATGTTGCCCAGGCTGGCTGGGGCATAAGATTGCTTCAATGCGAGGGCTGTCTGCTGGCTAGCCCTACACTAAAGCACCCTTGGGCCCCAGCCAGCCACCCTGCAGTACGCTGAGTCAAGAAAGTAGCCCTGTCTTGGCAGGCTGATCCCTGAGGCCTCCTCCTGGCTTATAATGCTGTAATCCTGGGTGCACATGCAGATGCGTGCATGGAAGCAAGGAGCTCCAGAGTTTATTACTGTGCACTAATAGGCACATGTAGACTAGGGGTGTGTGAAGTGGGCCCTATTCGATTTAGATTCAGATTCAGCCCGAATCAGGGACAGTGATTTGATTCGCCGATCCAGATCACTGTCCCTGATTCGATTCCACCAAATCTGAATCTGAAGGTTCGATGCTTGCAGATGGATTGCAGATTGGCTGAGGGGTCGCACTCAGAGGGTAGTGGTGGATGGGTCATACTCGACCTGGGGGGAGGTGGGTAGCGGAGTCCCCCAGGGCTCGGTCCTGGGGCCTGCGCTGTTCAATTTCTTCATCAGCGATCTGGATGATGGGGTGGAAAGTAACCTGTTTAAATTCGCTGATGACACCAAAAT